TAACATCACTTACAGGTAAGTTCGTTTGATCTTGTAATTTTTGAAAAGCAAGTTTTCTTCTAGGGAACAACTAATTAACTATAATAAAATCTACAACAATAGCAGAAAATGAATGCAAAGCACAATTGCTGAATATTGAGTGGTTGCTACATAATTAGTTACATCCCTGTCAAATTTTATTCGATTCGGTGGTATGGTCCTGAAAAAAATCGAATTTTTGTAAACGCAATCATGATTACTCAAAAAGTGCAAAATTATCCCTTTTATCAAAAAACTGGACCTCTATAAACGGACCACCCTGAATACATTTTTACACGTCTACTATGAATAATTACAATTTTCTTGTTTATAAGGAATGGGAGTATCTATACGTATACAATGACGCTGGAAAAAATGCTTACTGTCTGAATAAATTCTGAATGTACTTGATGTTTTATGTCCTGACTCATGACGATACTAAAATGCATCTTGTATAATTTTTGCATTTTTGGGTATTTTTTTGGGTTTGCTCTAATATGATTTGAGAATTGATATACGTCGAAAAAGGAAAATTTAAATTACAATGAGAATTAAAAATAAATAGCTGACTACGCCCAAAAGCCATCAAAAATAGGGGGAGACAAATTTTCTCAGGGAAGCAAATTCTAAAAATCTGTAAAATTGCACTCAAAGGCATGCTAAATATGAAAACTCTATGGAACAAGCGGACTCTCAGGGTATGCCATCTAAACATACCGGTTTTGTCCGTCCGACCACAGACAGTCAACCATGGTTTTATGCTTTTTGGCAACTCATCAGCATCGTCTAGGTTTGGCCTCAGGTCGAGACAACGAACGAAAGCATATTCAAATAACATCTATCTGCGGCATAAGATCTATCCAAACAAGACTATACGATGCAGTCCATTGCCAGAATCGTAGTAACAGAAGACAAAAGAAAATTTATTCGTCAGACTTAACATAAAGTGGGCCAGAAAGTTCTTCTTTGGATGGAATGTAGCGTTTACCGTGAGCTGATGGATTTTCTTTGTCTAAATTAGCAACATTTTTTAGTTTAGTTTCCACATCTATGTAGTCGTCAAACAGAGATAAGACGGAGACCTCGTCTGTCAAATACCATACATGTTGGCAGTACTTTTGTAAAGCTGCTTTTGAAATGGTTTTGTCAATTCTTCTGTAAGCCTTCATTGCCTTTAAAAAGCATAAATCCTGGTTAGGTGCTTTTACCGCTAAAGTGCATGACAACCACGGTTTCACGTATGTTGTCACGATGAACAGGCTGATATCTAACAGAGCTGCCTTATCCTTATTGGAAAGTATGAGCTGAGAACTTAATAACGCTATTTTTAATTAATAGATTGCTCTGGCCATCCATCAAGCTCGATGCACGGTGCCTGACGGTTGAATCTTAATTTTTTTCTCTGCATTTCCGCCAAGGAATATTCTTGAAAGTTCTATTAATTCTCGATACTGGTCTCTAGCAACTCCTTTGGCCAATTCATGTCGATAAAATTCTAGCAGCTTGTCAGTCTGAAATATTCAGGCATGATAGCTTTTCAGTATAAATCTGTATTTTCTCGGGATTCACACTTTTCTGGATCTCGCTAAACTTTTTGAACATTGGAATGTCTAGGCTTGTAGTTTCTTGGTAGATATTTTTTTCGAACACGCCTTTTAACACCAACTCGTAGCGGAAATGATGGCAAGCAAAAATAAGCATTAATTTTTCAAGTTTCTGTTCGCAAAGAACGCAGGCACCGCTAATGTGACCCGTATTTGAAGCAGCAGTATCACAACCGAGAATCTGAACTTTATCTTGAAGATTCCAGTCAATAATAGCATTCCAAACTGCCTGAACCTGCTCGCAGCCTGAAGATTTACCCAATTTGGGCACAGCGATAAGTTGCTATTTATTTTCATACGTTATAGCAACCGGTAGACGTTCTTTTTAGAATTGTGTGCATTTAAAGGTTGCAGTAAATAATGCACTCACGAATAGTAAGGTTGGCACCATGTTGGAACTCTCAGAGAGACTAAATTTCACTTCCCAGATACAGAACAAAACTGCTAGTGCTTTTCCATTAGATGTAAGGTTTGATGCTTTACGTCCCCTGTTAAAAATATTCCCTTTTCAGAACTCGTAATTCCTTCGACATGTTGACTGAACGAAAACACTGCGTTTACTAATAGAACAACCGAGAACGAGCACTGCAATACAGTGCCGGATGCTCCGCTGTTAGATTTTCGCCCGCCGGCGCGCATGACGTCACGTTGAGAGTGATTATCAGTTGGTTGATATGGATAACGTGCATATTTTTATCTACAGGCCAAATGGCTTGACGGATTTTCACATATGAAGTGTCGTTGGATTCGATAGCGGTGCGAGTGACACTAAATAAATAAAAATTTATACAAAACAAAATGGCGGATTTTAATAAAGGATTTCAACCTTGTAATTCATATTTCATAGGCTAAAGCTTAAACGGCTTTCTAGCTCCACAATAGAGCGTCTATCATCACAAAAACAAGATTTTTCTACATTACCTATATTTTAGTATGTTCTGTGGAGCAGGATTAACATGCTCATGACGTTAATACTGCACTACATTTATTCATCCTTATTTCACAGAACATCCTAAGTGCTAACTACAGACAAGTGTGAAAATGTACGCAACTCGAAGTAGAGAAATAGTTTTTGCAGTAAGCTGGTGGTATAAGAATAAATGGAAATGACTTAGTCTCAGCCACAATTTTTCTCCATTTCCTTTTACGATTTTTCTGGTCTTTCAAACTTTTAGTCAGTTATTTGATCCGGAAGAACATCGTTGACCTGAAAAATAGTTTTTTAGTTTTTTCAGGACAATGTTGCTGCTCTTCAACAGAAGTTCGCCTATAAAATTTTGCTTTTCTATCACTATTACGTCCCCATTGAATGTAGTAAACACCTTATTAAACTTCTCAATTTGATTCATGAAAGCTGTGGAAGGTTTTGATAATCCACGCTCACTAAGATGGTCTATCCAGGAGTAAGTTTCATTTGAGGAACTTTTCAACCTCACATCCTGCAATTTATGGCAAACAAAGCCGGCCAAATATTTTTCAGCCCATCATACTCGAGCTCATCTATTTCTTCCACTAAAACTTCCTCGTTATAGACAGCTGATACTTCAGGTGCATTCAGTTTATTCATTAATGATGCGGTTAGTGGAATGTTCGGAGTATCCTCTTGCTCTACGCTGCAATACTCTGAGAATGCACTTTCGTTTCGCTCCCAAAATACATGACCTTATTCTATACTTAATCTCTAGGGGATAAGTTGAGCCCTTTTCCTTTTTCCGTAATCACTTTTCCGCTTTTCCCCATCAACAGATGTGGATAGTCCAGGTGATGATAGAGACTTGGGTAAATTTTCCATAGGAATGGCATCATCTTCTAGAGCACGATATCCTTTAGGGGTGTAACCCAAAAGGGTATGTTTCAAATTGACCTTATAGGCACTTTCACAAAAGTGCTTCGAGCAAACCCTACCTAGCACTTTTTACATTGACTTTGATTTTCCTTTTTGTATGATGTAGCCATTTTTTGCTAAGGTTTGAGTCTTGAGGAAAACTGTGGAACTTCATGTCTTTGCAAGGATTTCGTTAAGATTGGTTGTCGGAATTACATCCCACAACAGCACACCGCATTTTTATCAATTGACTAACATCACGGGGTATATAAAGTATGTATAACTAATACAACGATTCACAAACCCACCAAAAAATCACCAACAAATCGCACTATATAGTATTAGCCACGATACACGTGCACTGCAGTAACCTTACGACAATCCTGCCGCTGGTAACCACGAGCCGACAACTCTCTCGGTGACGTCATGAAGCTCCGCCCACATGTACAACATTCTATCTTCAGTGTATGTGTATCGTGACTGCAATACGTTACGCTGGGAATACACCGAACGAGGCAGTATCGGCGCGCCGCGATGTAATTTGCCACGAAACGAAATGCAATACGTCTAATGTCTTGACGCCAGCCGCGGCATGCTCACAGCTGATCTGTACAGGAGCAGATGCTCAGTGATTACTTATTTAGTTGAGTGGTTCATTTTGATTTTTTTTCTATTTGTTTTATTACTTCGTTTACTTGTAGAAGATTAGAAGATGTCGAGGAAAACTACGTAAGCTTGATTGATTCCATTGAATTTGCACGCGAGGACTTAGGCAATTGAAATAATGATTAAATTAATAATTTATCTTTCAGATCGGAGTGGAGAAATGAAAAATGCCTAGATTTAATTGTAGAAGTTAGTGCCAATAAAGTAGACTGGGGATGTAACCCTTCCCGACCTCAATAATTATCTTCGCGTCGCGCGTCAAGGCAAACAAAATTCGAAATTACTAATAAAAATTTGTAAATCAGCAAAAATAGCCTATTGGCGCGGCTTTATATTCGTTCTGAGGCAAATGCTGCGCACGAACGAGGCACGGCTCGGCCGGTGCTCACTTTGATGGACCGACAGCCGATGGCTCAGGTCGTGCACCGCATGAGGCAAACCGAGCCTGTTCGCAGCTGTATTGGCGCGCCGCACACACTAGCGGCTGCCTCGTTCGGTGCGCGGCTTGCCTCGGCGCAAATATATTCCCGGTGTTACAGGTTGCCCTTTTTCTAGGTCCATAAAACTTTATTTATAATTGTTTTGACATTAGTCAAGCAAAATTAAAGGGTATGCGTTTGGAAAAAAGGAACCTTCATTTTTTTTGGACACCCTAATCTCAATTCGAATAACAACAAACGTTTGTCTGCCCTCATAGGTTGGGACACCCTAACATACTGCTTATATTTTTTGTTCCAACAAAGTTTGTCACATTTATACCTCTTAAACTATAAAGGAAATTGGACAAACAATAAAAGTGAAACAGTTGTTCATATTGCTCACACGAATAAATGATTACAATATTTTTCGCAGCACGGCGTGATAAATACTAGGATAATTCAACTTACCTCATCACGAAGTAGCTGAGCGGGTATGAAATAACACATCGAGGACATACATACTACCCCAGCTGTTACAAAAATAAAAGACTTCATGGCTATTAATAGGTCAGTCCTGGAGGAAGAACGTTCATTCATAATCTGTTCTCAGCAATAGTAGCAATAGAATCGAGTTAGCTGATGAATGATGGGCGACACTCATAACTTAAAAAAATATTAAATTATTTATCCTTTCTAATATTATATATGAGAGTGTGGATGTCTGTTACTCAATCACGCCAAAATGACGGATGAAGGATGAAATTTGGTACAGGGATAGATTATAGTTTGAAACAGCACATATGCTACCTTTTATTCCGGAAAATATATTTGAACAATCTATTGCGCGGGCTACAGCTGGCTTAATAGTTTTTGACATGAGGTGTCTGGCGCCCAATCGCTCAGTTGCTGATCCGACCAAAATGATAGGGTATAGTATACATATAATCAGGCAATTTACACCATGTAGTGCGTTTCGACATTCGTTTTCTTAGAGTGATCCTTTTGATTTAGATTTGTTTGGTGTTTTGTTTTACTCTAAGTATGTGTTTGAATAAATAGTTATTTGGATAGCTGTGTTCTATTGTAACTATATTGTAGCGAGGTTGTTTTTTGTGTACTTACAGGTTTAAAATTCTGTTCTTAGATTATACCTATGTAGTATGTTTAATTTGAAACTATCATAAAATGTTAGTATGTAAGTACTTTTAATTATTTCATCCACACACAAGGGTTTTTCTTTTGCAGATTATGGATTCACTTGTACATCAAAATTCATTTTGTATATTTGGAATGCATTTCAGCGAGGCAAATAATTATTATTATTATCATTGTGCAATGGGAGTCCCGAGCTCTACGGCCAAATCACGCGTACTGCATCGAGGATCTTTTCAATTAATATCTTGATAGTATTTATGTTTCCACAAGACGCCCAGACCTTGGCATCCATCCAGGCATTTCTTTGATTTTTATACCACACTGGAAGAGCGTTGGCACGGACGTGTTTAAATGCTTGGTTTAGCTGATTTTCCGATTAACAACAAAGGAAGTTTGTGTGTACCGGAAGCATTGCTACAAGCAAGGGTAGTCACACGTTCTTTACTGTGTTTGTAACCAGGAGCACCAGATTCTTGCTTTGTTGCTAAACTTTTCGACAGTAACATTTTATAGTTTAGGCTCGTTTCGTCGCAGTTGCAAATTTGTTCTTGTTTAAATCATACTGCTTCATTAATTCTTTAAAATGTTCTCCTGTTATTTTTACGATGAGCTCATGTCAATTTTCGTTGTTATTCTCATAGTCTGCGCAAAGTACCATTTCTTGGTTTTTGTAAAGTAGAATTTTTTACTAGGCTCTATGCTTCTGCTATCCAATATGCCACATCCTTGCGGTTAATCTTTTGTAAACGATCAACGAGGTTATAACCATTATCAACTTATTCTAAAATTTGCTCTAATAACAAACATCTGTAATTGCGTTTTAAATTTTCTGAAACTCCTTAATCCATTGGCTAAATCAGTGACGTTACATTAGGAGGCAAAAACATCACTCATATTTCTCCACTTATAAGCTGCTCCTTACTTGGGTGGCTCGGAACATTGTCTAATAGCAAAATGCATTTTCTCGGATAAACGCGTTCATTCAAATATCGTTCTGTCTGGGGAACAAAATTGTAAAACCAGTCCTTAAATAGAGCGGCATCCATCCAGGCATTTCTTTGATTTTTATACCACACTGGAAGAGCGTTGGCACGGACGTGTTTAAATGCTCTTGGATTAGCTGATTTTCCGATTAACAACAAAGGAAGTTTGTGTGTACCGGAAGCATTGCTACAAACAAGGATAGTCACACGTTCTTCACTGTGTTTGTAACCAGGAGCTCCAGATTCTTGCTTTGTAGCTAAACTTTTCGACGGTAACATTTTATAGTTTAGGCTCGTTTCGTCGTTGTAAATTTGTTCTGGATTTAAACCATACTGCTTCATTAATTCTTTAAAATGTTCTCCAAATTTTAATGCAGCGGACTTATCGGCACGTTTCTCCGCGAACTTTTAATTCTCGTATACCGTGTCGTTTTTTTCATCTATGCAGCCAATCATCACTGGCTGTAAAGCTATCAGGCGCCACAATAACTGGCAATTCTTCTCTTAAGTTGACTGCCTTTTGCTTTAGTGTAAACCACAGATATAAAGCATCATACACTTTTTGATATTCCCCCTTTTTCACAGTTTTCCGTGACGGCTGCGATGATGTCAGAACTCCAGACCTCTTAATTTTCTCGTGTTGTTTTCTCCATTCTGAAATGGTACTCACGCTCACACTCAAATCACTTGCCACGTTTTTAAGCAAATCACCTCTATAAAACGTCTATTTGCCTCAAGTTTCTGTTCTATGTTAACAACAACGCGTTTACGTTCATTTCTATGCTGCTCCATCTTAGCGATTATGAACCTGACTGAAACAAACATACACGCACACATACCAGTGAATTCCGCAAACGCGCTTGGGTAATCACTGGCAGCGAATCTAATGACGCAAACGCCGAAAGAAAAACTATCGGCGGCTATTTCAGATCAAGCGCCGATTTCCCAAATAACTTCGGTTAAAATGGAGAAATTATTGCATGCGATCTGTTTTGGATAAAGCGGGTCTCGGATAATCGCGATTCGTATAATCGGGGTTCTACTGAAATTATCGTTATAGCACCGTCCGAGAACGTAAAAACACACACAATAATAATATTATGTGCTCGTGTTTGGCAACAACGGATATAATCCGCCTTATCGGTTCATCGCATCGGAAACAAAAAAGCGAAAGAATTTGAATCGCTTATCACGATGTTTTTACTACAATTTTGTTCAGTTGTATTCAGTCAATGTGTCAGTCGGTAACGCGTGAGTGGATAGTGGTGTTTTTTGCGTGGCTCAAACGAAACCTGACTTTACAATTATTTCGGGGAAATTTGCTAATATGATTGGACTAAATAATACCATTCACAAATTGCCAATTGATGGGCAACTGACTAATTGGCACAATGATCGTACTTCATTTCATCCTCTGTCTCTCTCTCTCTCTCTCTCTCCAGGGTGTCAAAGTCAGACGTAAGAAGGGAGGTATATTCTTTAATTCACCGGTTGAGCTACCGGTGCAACTACATCTTTTTGTGAAAAAATGGAAGAAGAAAAGATTGAAGTTATTCTACAGCATTCTCAACACAATTCGAAATAAACAGAGGATCTGAAGGCAAGTGATTTTGTTTTGAATTATGCATATCGACGATCTCAAATCAATACCTCGTAAGTCCGAAAATGTCGATTTTGTTCTGTTTTTATTCCTGTATGCAAGTTATGATGCAAAAAAGGATGCACGTGGAATAAGAAAATGCTGAGGAAAGCATCCAAGCCCTAGATGATATATAGAGGTTCTTCATGCTTTCCGAAGATTCCTCGTTTGTTCGTCGTATTGTACATTTTATTCATTGTAAAATATTTCAAGTTATTGTTGTAGTCGTCTTGTAAAGCCAAAATCATTTTTTTTAAAAACCCGAATGGCCATTTCGGCAACATATCTTGCATACAGGAATGCTCTCAGAAAATCCATATCGATGGTTCTTACTCGGGAAGCATCGACGATCTCGAATCAATGCCTGTAAGTCCGAAAATGTCGATTTATGCATACAGGAATCAAAACAGTATAAAATAAAAAAATCGACATTTTTCGGACTTACGAGGTATTGATTTGAGCTCGAGGATATCTGAAACTTTCTTGGTTTTCTGATTTATAGTTCTTATATTGATTCTCGGAGCGCAAATTCTCTCCGCTGGATAACTTCTTCATCCGAATCATCACTCGAATCGCTTATCAAACGTTCCACAACAATAACAACTGCTGCGTACATTGCCATAATGATTTTAAGTGATACGGTGTTCAAATTAACAAGTATCCATTCTCGATAAAGCAAAGGTTATGTTTTCTCCAATGAGTTTTCTCATATGCCAGCAACCTGAAGGCTAAAAATGCGTCTCTTTATTAACCACCATTCAACGGAACCGATTGCTAACGTCATCTTATCAGCTGTCAACCAGAAGTTCACCGGATCCATCAGTGATGGAATCAACCGGTGAATTAAAGAATATACCTGGGGTTTTAATAAAAATTTGGACTTTGGCATGACTTTTATGTGTGTTTTTCGCAAACTTAAAAAATAATACTGGACGAGATGAACTGCTTAACTCTTGAGTGTTTTAAAATATACCTGATCCAAAAGTTGATATTTGTAGAAATGGCACGGGGTTAACTGAATATAAGCCATTTTTTTAAATGCTGGAAACCTCGAAAACCATAAAACTTTTACTAAGACAAATTTTTACCAGTCATTAGGCTATGACTTGACTACAGTTCTAGGATTATCCTTCAGTTTCGGGACACCCTGTATATACATGTAGCCCTTTTAAATAATGAATTCGTTATATTTTGTTTTCTTAAATACTGTGAGAAATATATAGTTATTTATTTTTATTTGTATTTTGGAAAAGGTCACCGAGGTGGCAGAAACGTTAGGAAACATTCAAACTAACACATGTGGTCTTATCTGGCGATCAGCAAAACAAGGAATATTATCAGCATGTAAAGCACAAGATAAGTTTCAGGTCTTTCAATGTTTTTGATGTAAATTATTTGACATTTAATAATATGGGTGGAAACCAGTCAAAATGGAGTGTAAGGATTCCGTATCCCTTTCAATATCGTCAATTCACATATACGAGTATATAACGTGAGCCGTGGTAATTATGGTCTATCTAAATAACCAGCTCTTATTACTTTATTCTCTAGCTTTCGAAGAACTTTGTCATTATCACCAACTACATGTGTATAATTGATCTTAAATTACTTACAAAAGTAGGTGAGATTGTTGGTAAATGTCATTAACTAAGTTAATGAGAACACTTAGTAACCTGATGAAAGCTGGATCCATGGTAGCAGTAGTTCAGATTTATAAAATAGACATAGCCATCCGTCAAAAAACAGCACAACGGATTAAAAGCTTAAGGATTGATTGTTATTTTTGGTTTTACATCATGAAACAATCTTGTTACTAAAAAAATAACGCACGGAACAAAACCATCGGAAGCAAAAAGAGCATGAAAGTTGACATCGGCTGAATTTTTTTTCAAAAATA